TGTCATAGTAGCATATAATTGATCAACATCTGGAGCAAATGCAAAAAGTTTGGCGGTTCAGTGAAATCTCATAAAATAAAATTTCTTTGTAAATTTAGCTCTATTTGTGGAAATAAGCATTATCAATGATGCCTCATACATGTGTTCCTGACACTGGAGAATCTTTTCTATCCGACTGCACGTAACAATTAAGGTCCTGAGCTTACCAAAGGATACAGCTGGCTTGATTATGATGCTCACATGCTAAGGTCTCATTCAGCAAAATATGAAGCAAATGCGATAGTTTATTTAACACAATGAAACCGGTCCTTCAGAAATCAGCTGTATCTCTCGAACTAAGCTGTATCCGTTTCTAGCATACGTAAAAAGAAGCATCATGTGAAGATTATCCGTCGACAACGTATGTATCGGGGATAATCCTTGAGGTGTTAGCGGACTATGCGTGTGTAACGGTGTTTTACTTATTGGTGAGAATTTATTGTCTCTGTTGCAGTTGAAAAACTGTGCTGATACAAGAGCTGATAAAGGCGTAATAGTTTGCAGCTTGCAGCTTATGCGCTTCCATATTTTTTGTAACCGTGTCTCATTATTGATACATAAACTCCCTAAAGCTAATGATCACAGCATCCAATTTATTTGATGACGCCTTTGAATGATAACGGTCTGTATTTTGGACGCCATATTTCAAATTTTCTTATCAGCGCGTCATTACTACATCATAGAAACATAGCTTTAAGTGCTAATAAGAGATTCTAGACAATTGAAAGGTGTAGGGCGTTGAGTTTAGAAATTTCTGAGGACATTATATTTGGATATGAGATTCCGACGTTTCTTCAGAATGAAATCACTAAATAACAAGAAGCTTGATTGAGTAACATATTTTAGAAGGTTCTCTGAAGTATGAATGAGAAGTCTTTGAAATTCGAAATCAAAGCTGTGGAAATTTTCGAAATTATCGATGATCGCAAAAGAGTATGCGACAGTTTTTATCAAAGTATACAAATCCAATCGAAAGTAAAGAGTCATTGATCGTCATGAATGCAATATTTCAATATGATCAATAAGAATAGAAATGCGTCAGAGCGTCATTTTTTTTCATCTTTTCTGATGAGAATTCTCACTTCAGTTAGCTATTTTCAGATTTCGCAGCAATCTTCTACTTCTTTCAATGAGCACTGTTGATTGCTGATTATAAATATCTCTTCGCATAATCTGTTCGAATCACACAAATATTTCCGAGCGTTTACAGTTCAATGATAACAGTTTCATATGACAAGCAGTCTTATCAAATTATCAGCATCATTCACAACGAACATCTTAGAGTTAAACGTCACAACGCTTTCGTTGGAATATTCTATTGATTGCGAGCAATAATTGCTCTTCAGATCAGTATTTCAGTGAATATCGTCTGAAATCCTTACAAAAATCGCAAGTTATCGATGAAAACTTTATGGAACAAATGAAATGAAGACGAAACTTTCGTCGATCTATAAATCAAAACACTTTCAACTTACACACACAATATCGCGTGTTCAATTAAAAATGTTTCTTCTTGTAATGAGAGTAATAATGAGAAAAATACAAATGAAATTACGCAATGAAATCAAACGACTAATTCCTTAAAAACCTGTTTCTGATATGGTAATTACTTATGAGTAATTGTTGACATAATCGCGCACTCAAAAACTATTTAGCGTGGATTGTGCATAAAATATTGCTGATCATTTGCATAGATTTTGGTCATTTTCAGCGAACAATCGGATTCGTGGTGTGCCACATGATAAAATAGTATTATCTCGTCAAAACCAATATATAGAAGGATTCAATACCTCGTTTTGCCAACACACGAATCTCCCACGACCACAACCTTTAGTTTTCTCTCGAGTGCGTACGGTCTATCCATTACATCTTGGCTCCACTTCATCGACTCCATATGAAACTTGACCGATTCAAGACAGTTGAAGCAACTCGCTCTTCATACGGTACGTTTAGTGTGTTAGATCAGCGTAAATCCTGACGATAGCATTTAACAGTAACGGTAATATTTCGATAATTATCACTGAAAATATGGCATTGACGACAGTTACAATAACATCGATAGCAGTATTAACACCAAAGCCAAAGCGGATCNGATCGGATCGGAAGAATAATTGGATATGAGTGAATACCGTCGGCAATTCATATGGCTTAAAAACAGTATTTACATTGCACGCATTCAAAAAGAGCATGAAAAGCTTCATAATTACCAATCGATCATGCATGGATAAATGATCAAAAAGATGATCATAACAGCTGGTTTTGATTGAAATAATATCTGAAACGATGGCAAACTAATATCATGATAATATTTAATAAGTAGCTAGGTGCTTTCCAACTGTCATCAGAGTGAGCTCTGTTCTCTTGATGAAATTTTGAAGTCTCTCTTCAACATTTTACAGTTTTGCTCATCGTTCAACTCCACCCATTCTATTCAGCTTCGTTCATGCTTTCTCTTCTTTCGAACTCGATAATTTTGCCGTGAGCCACCACAATATCACGCTTTTCCATCGCTTGTTCCTCTGCTCTATAGATTCTCTTCAAACTCTATGAAGTCTATAATTCAAAACTCATTCACTTCATCCTTGCCAAGCGCCTTTTGCAAGAGTATCTTTTTGCGTCTGCGACTCATTTCATGAGCACATTCAAGGTATTTTCATTGTCTCGTCCATGATCAACTCCTTTATTTGCTTTGATTTTGATTTGTTTGCTTTTGCTTTACATCTACTGGAAGTGATGATGCTTTGTACTTCATCATTGATATGCTCCATACTTGTCACTATCATGTCATCGTGACCACTACATTAAATCATCAGTCAGTGCTGGTGTTAATACGTTGTGTTCGTATGCAGCAATACAGATAAACTCAAACAATTTTTCATGCTTATTTGGTCGCTCAGTTTATTCGTATTGCTTTTGAGAGAGCGANTAAATGCATATTAATTGAGTGTTGAAGTTCATTCATTCATGCTTTCTGTCTTCATGAAATATGGATGGATTACACTAAATCATATCAATCAATCACTACTGGCGAACAAGTTTCTTAAAATTGATTATGCTTGGGAATTTGAATTTACTTGAAAACTCAGAATATATTCTGAAGCATATTCAAGGAGGAAAACCACAAATGTTGAAAATTCCACTGCTATTAAAGACAATTTGCAGAAATATTGCTGTGATCATTGTACTAAAGACATGATAACACCCTTATCACAGATTATTTATCACTGCCATATAACCACTGATTCGTTCAATGTTCTCACTATTTTGGTAGACATGATAATTTTTTAAAGAAATCAACAGTGTCAACGAGTGAATTTAACGAAAATTAACTTCGTGAAGTACTTTGCGAGCTCGTCAATAGTTCAGTTTCGAGCTGTTAGCACCTCAGCTTTTCGAGATCTCACCTGATGGAGATGTAAACAATAGTAACAGGTGATTCGAAAGCATGAAATTTTGATTTGGCTTGTTTGTGCTCAATGACGAGTTCGTTGAAAGTGTTGATTTGGATGGAAAATTTCTTATTGCTAGTACACCATGCAAAGAACATATAGTACACTTGAATTAAAGTGAAGATTGCATTGAATTGAGAAATTTGTACTAAAATGGATGTTTACATGTTGTGTTTATGTTCATTTATATTTTTGAGTTCATGAAACTTTTATGGGAACGTGTTCGAATGTTATGAAAGGTGAGTTTCCATTTTTTTTTTTAATTTAACATCTCAGACTTCTTATGCACTTACTCGGTTTATAAGACACATCGGAAATGAACAATGTTGTCAGGGAATTCAATGTTGTCTACCAAATTGCTGAAGATTTTGCGAACGAATAACTGGAAAATATCATCAGTTGAACACAATATCAGACAAAAACATCAGAGCCCAATAGCAAACAAAAACATCAGACCAAAAAAAAATCATTTCAAGCTGAACATGTGAGAACCAAAAGTATGAGTCTGCTCAACCGAAATTCACAATATTTCATTATGTATTATTTTTTGCTCGCTAGATCGTGAATGTGTCTGTCCATTCATTGCGATGTGCAGATTTCATGCACAAATCTGTATTTTTGTATTTCTGTATTTCCATGCTCTCCAAATAAATTGACCAATCAATCCATTTGAATGCAGTGCACTAGCAGATCGTACTCTGAATTAATTTGATCATGAAATTTACGGAATGTCGACTCAGTGAACAGTTTCTGTTTCTATCTGATCTATTGAATAAATAAAGTTTATTCACGTCACTGCCGCGTCCATTCAGCGTTCCAGAAATGCAATAATAGCATCTCATGGCAACAACAACAACAACAATTTTTGACGACTGCATTACGAGAACACCATCGAAAACTGGTAAATTCTTTGAAATGTTGCATTAGCATGTGAAATTTTTGCTTTCCATTAAAAAGAAATGCTTAAAATACATCGCGGTTGACAGAATATTTGTTCAAAAATTTTCACGATTTCGATGAAACGAATACGATACGATTTCCATTGAAATGGGGGTGAAGGCGACTGATGGCGCCAGTAGCTGGTAACGCACAACCAAGGGATTATCGCAGACGCGTGACAATATGGATTAGAGAGCTCAATGTTGGGGATGAGTATGGACACTTGTCATATTTAAAACGAAATCAATAATTCCGTTCAAATGCATACATGCTTGAATTATACGTAAATCTGACTGATTAGTATGCAATATAATGACAGCAAAAGCCTAAAAATGATAGCAATAATGAAATCAATCATTACAAAATCAAACGAACATGCAAAACCACATTAAAATGATATTTTATTTTCTTCTCTAATAGTAAAACAAAATGAATCAGTGAATATCACATCCATTACTATTTTCTACATTATTATCAGCATTGCATTACAACGAGACAAACATTTCATGTGACAATTTCCGAGTTTCTAAGCAAAATACTACGCCACAATAAACGAGTTGTCAACTGGAGTGATCAAAACGCTTGATATAATTGCTGTCTTGTTGGATGCAATTGCCTTCGCACACTGTAACCGGCCAGCATTGAAACTGAAGTGACGCCCAGCACAACACCCGAGAAGACGGTCATCTTGTTCTGGAAGCTCTCCGCAAGTGTCCGACGCCGGGTTCGTTCACAAACATATACTGTAATCATTAGTCACTGTTACTGTAGAATCGGAANTTATCATGAACAAAAATTTGACAGCTGAGCTCATTTTGATCACTAGTAATGTTGATCTCTTGCATTCATACGAGAAATCCAAACATCAGAAAGGAAAACGCTCGCAGATGAACTAAAGTCACATCAAACAAATCCTATCGCCATCACTTCATTGCAGCTGAAATGCGTTCTGTCACTCAAGTCAAATCAAAATCAAAATTGCTTTCTCGGTGACATCGTTCTTGGCCTATAAACCTTAACAACGCCATTAATGTTCTAATAAAGTATGTATGAATGCCTCAATATCTCCCTCCTCTATGCCTGAAGTTATGAAAAAAAGCAAAATAACAAGCGATTTGTTTAGACGAAAAAGCATTTCGTTAAGTAATCGCTGCTTCGAAGATGAAAGTAAATGACGGATTTTGATTGTTTAAAACGAAAGCAACGAAGAAAATAGAACATAAATCAGTAAAAATGGCATTAGTCACTGGTTTTTCCTCATCCATACTCCATATTCCAAAAGCATAAACAAATGCTTGAAATCAAGATATGAAAAACATCCATTCAGAAAACATTCAGTGGAAATAAAAAAGTGGCATATGAATAGTTACAGCTGCATTCGAAGCAACACAGCTGTGCGTTCACACCAAAATTCTATTCTTTAGCTCAAATAAAGCTGATTCAACCCACCTTCTCGCTTTTTTTCAAAATTTTTTGCGTGAGAACATCTTTTGCAAAGGAACATAGGGCGTGATTGTGCAATTTTGGTTTATGCTACCTAAATTTCATCGAAAACTCGGAAATTTTCAATGAGAACATTGAAAAGATTTTCCCTGAATAGTCGAAGAAGTCAAGAAATAAGAATTTTCTTACTGTTCGCCCCACTTCCTCCGGCCGCATTGTAGGGTTGTGCTTGAATATCGGGTTCAAGTTCGAGAATATAGTCCTTGAAATGAACATTATGCAGTGTAATATTCAACTTGTCTCGACACACGAACTTCTGTTTGAAAGGTGCACTTATGACAATCGCAGACGAGTTGAATTCGACAGACTGACCTGAAATAACAACCTCTTATGTCTTTCTGTTCTGCAAAAAAATCAGTCATTAAACATTGGCAAGGTCAGAATTATAAGAATTGAGATTGGCCTATCGAAGATATGTGCTAACCGTTGAATGATTCTGTATAGCTGACATTCGTTAGTTGCCATCTTAACTCTTCAAGTTGTTTCACTAAACTTTTTACATTTGCCTGAAATATCCAGCGGTTAAGGTTATCCATCGAAAATTCTCTTGCAGGAAGTAAGATATTCCTTGCTACCAACTGTTTCCTCATTGCTATCCATTAACTATGTCATCAACTTTATTACTTACTAAACAAAATAACAAAAATAACATGAAATAATCGTGTTATTTATGCGAATTGTTTAGAGCAATCAAGTCTACAGAGGCAATCAGGTTATATTTCTATTTTAACAAATGGTGAAGTCGTGTGCTTTGAAGTGTTCTCGGCACATCAGTGAATTCTAAAAATCTATCGCAAATTCGCTTTCATACCGTTGCAAAATAGAGTCTGAGTGTCTTTCGCCTGCCTTCAGTTTTCCATTTGATCAGGAATTTAGCCGTATGATTTCGACTATCATGTAACGCACAATATCCGCTTATTTTCACATCTCGTGAACTGATTTTCGGTACCTGTCAAGTAAATTCATCGATTAAGTCGACTGCTTCTATACGTTGATCAGGTAGCATGCATTAGTGCTAAACATTTGCTCGCTCTGTAGATCAGTCAACACAAAAGTTTAGAAATTCACAGAGNATTTTTCATACAATTCACCTCGATTAGATCCTGCTGAGCTGCAACGGAGCATTAATTCCCGTTAAGGAGAAATTCTGAGTTCCGGAGATAATATGGATAAAATTTTTCGGAGTATCGCATCATTACTGTGATTCCACACTAACCTCAGTGACAATGTTTGATGAATTCAAATTCAAGTTGTAAAGTTTTGCTGAAAACTTCAGCAAGAGGCATATGGCGCCCGTCTTATCGGCTAGGCCAAATTCATCAGTATCAGTTCTTTGAACTGGTACATAACGCTCTGCATGCACCCTCTTGAGCGCACATTCTAAAAGCAATGCAAAATAATTCCAACAATAACAACGGTAGTATCCGATGTGAGATCAGTTTTAAAAGTACGTCTCGTGAATAGACTGAATCGTGCACCATAAGAAAGTTTATACCTGAAAATATGAAGAATACTACCGTTAGAGCGATTGAGTGAAGGCCGACTTTGAGACCATCCAACATTACGAAAAGCAATGCCGGAGAGTGGTCTTTAAAGCGCTTCGAAGTAACAGATTCAAATCCCATCATTCAAAGATGGATGATGCATTCAAGGATCTTAAGAAACGAAGGAACCACTCCTATTCCTATAGCCATTGGCCCTCTTCTATCGTCTGTCTTTAAACTCTAACATAAGCAAGCAGCCACTTATAAGCCTCATTAAGCAATAACGAACGAATCCATTCTTATAGTGTGCTGAGAAATGAATATAAATAAATGAATGAATCGCTGAAATTTTTAATAATTCAGCTACAATTTTGATACTTTAAATAATAATGTTGTGCTGTTTTTCTTACGATTGTATCTACCCACTGAAATATACATAACGATGTGTTGTTATGCTTGATCGTTCCGTTGATTAATTTTCACGATGCATTTTTCTGTTATTTGATGCAACATAACATGAAAACCGTGACAAATT